GAAGGAAACCTGATTACCAAAGAGGAGAAACAAAGGAAACGATGGGTCGACCACTTCAGGAAACTCTTGAGTCGACAACCACCACCACCACCAACAACAACAACTCGTCCAGAAATAACACCTGCAGCCACAGAATTACCAGTCAACACAAGCCCTCCGACAAAAGCAGAAGTCAAGTCCTGAACGCCACAAAGCCGCTGAAAGCCAGGAAAGCAGCAGGACCAGATGGAATCCCACCAGAACCACTGAAAACAGACGCAGGGACAACAGTGGACATGCTCACACCACTATTGCACAAGGTTTAGAAGGAAGGAAGGAAAGGTACCTGCCGATTGATAGGAAGAAGGGCTACCTTGTCAAACTCCCAAACAAGGGAGACCTAAGTCTTTGCAAGAACTAGCGAAGAATCATGCTCCACTCCTTTCCACCCCAAGCAAAATATTATGCCGCATCATACTGGAGAGATTCAAAGGTGCTCTAGATTCAAAATTACGACCGGAACAGGCTGGCTCAATTCAGGAAATACAAATCATGTACGGATCAAATTGCAACGCAACGCTACGCATCATCATACAACAGACCATAGAATGACAGTCAACTCAACTCTACCTCAACTTCATCGATTTTGAAAACGCCTTCGACAGCGTCGACCGAGAAGTCATTTCGAAACTGCTTTAACACTACAGTTTTAGTGCCACAAACCTTTATCAAACTCATTCAACAACTATATGACGACGCCATATACCAAGTGATTCACAATGGAAAGCTCACTCACGCCTTTCAAGTGAAGACAGGAGTAATACAAGGCTGCCTACTATCACCGATGACCTTCCTGATTGTGGTCTACTGGATTATACGACAAACTGTGAGGAACGAGAAGTGGGGCATTCGCTGGCTGCACCGATGAGAACAACCTAAGAGAAGGTTGGGATTTCGCCGATGATGATGTATATCTAATGTCTTATCGCACAAACTCGAAGATCTACAGGCAAAAACCAACAGGTTGACAGAAGAGGCAGGGCAGCGAAAACGGGACTTCAAGTGAATGTAGACAAGACGGAGGTGATGAAGATACCCAACCAGCAACAAGCACCAATCATCATCAATGGGAGAAACCTAAAGAAAGTAGTCTCCTCCACCTACCTGCACACGCAACAAGCAGCACAGGCACAGATGAACACGTCAAAGCCACGATCCGAAAGACAGCAAGACAGGTCTTCACTAACCTGAAATAATCAGTGTGGAGATCTACTGCACTCTACTCCACTCCACTCCACTCCACTCCACTCAGCATAAAGCGTGAACAAGATTCGGATTTCCAACACCAACGTCAAGTCAGTGCTTCCATGTGATGGTTCAGAAACTTGGCGCGTCACGAAAAGCATTTCAAACTAACTGCAGACATACACATCACATCAACAGCTGCCCCCTTCCCTCACTCCATACTGAAAATTAGATGCCCAGAATAATAAGAATGAGCAATAAGGAACTCTGGCTGGGCAGCCAACCAACCAACCAACAACCCATCGCACAAGAAAGTGGAGATGGATTGCATTGGGGACACACTGAGAAGGCCGATTGGGGATATCACACGTCAGGCCGTCGAGTGGAATCCAAAGGGGAAACGACGAGTTGGGCGTCTCATCTGAGGGTGACATGGAGGAGATGGTGTGAGGAAGAAATGAGAGCTTGTGGGCTGTCGTGGAGCCATGTTCAAAAGTTTGCAGAGAACAGAGTGCACTGGAGGCGTGCTACTGAAGCCCTATGTTCCACTAGGATCTCAAGGGACATATAATAATAATAATGATAAAAATTTCAACAAAACCAATTCTCTTAACTAACTAGTTACCAGAGAAGTAGGTAATAATCAATGCTTGGATTTCAGCCGTTTAGGCTGAAATTTATCGATTAGCCAGTTAGAATCTTCACTGACATACTTCAACCAATAATGACTGATTATATTTGATTATAATTATAATTTAATTTCATTTAGTTTTAATTTAATTTAATTATAATCTTATACAGTAATTTTCAAATAAACTGATTTGGACTGAAAGCGGTGTTCAGTTGCAGTAAATGCACGCACCAACAGTGATCATATCACAATATTCCTACAAGTTAAGAGACTATGAGAGTAGTAGTTTGTACAACAATCAGCGGCAAATTCTGTCAATTGGTTCATAAGCCATTATAACTGGACCCTAAGTAGGAATTAAGTAAACTCTAGAGCAGAGAGAAAATATTTCGATGCTTTCTTGTGACAGCAACTATTTGTGGAAATCTAAAACACGTGTCTTCTCCCTCCTTTGGATTTTAGCATGTCGATTTCCCTACTGAACCAAAAGAATATCGATTAATCTGCTCAGATAGGATGAGAGGATAGATATACGCGAGGTTGCGTTTTCACCAAGGAAAAGTCACAACACTTTTTTGTAATGGAGCCCCAATGGAAGAATAGTTCAACAGCTTTCACAAATGATATTCTCTCATCGTTCGTTAGCTGCAACCACATTAGGACATTCTTATCATTAAATCTCGTGAGTCATAACAAAAATGACAGGTCTCAGAATGGTTAGAATGAGACACAGTCACAGGCCGTCTTCGTCTTCTGGTTTTTCGCAGCTCAGTGAAGCAGAAGGTACTGATGGAGGTCAGTCGCAGAAGTATTCGGTTGAGGTGTCTATTGGGTCTCAGTATCATTATATCCACGCTCGTGATTCCATTCGGTCACAACAAGCAATACATGTCCAAATCAACCTGATCAACAACGAGTTACAACCCCATCAACCAACTTCACTTTTACGTGTAGTAATCTACGCATAATCATCAATAAAAACTTAATTCTCTCAGTAACTGCGTACATGACGATGTACCAGGCAATGAGTCACACCTATTGCGTAATGGGTAATGATACTACCCGACTACCCAAACCTTGGTGGGTGGAGCAGGTTTCGAACCATAACCACCGTTTAAAGGGCGACTGCCTAAACCAAAGAGCTATAACATAACCAAGAAACTACTCACTGTGATTCCACTACAGATGAGCACTATTTTGGATACACTAATTATCCCAAACCTGTAACCTCTCCATGTCTACTGTACTTATCGGCTATTTATTACACGTATACCATAGGACAGAACAAACTGCCAGGTAGTAAACTCGTTCTTTAATTGTAAATCATATATGACACAGGTCCCAAAGATACTTGAAGGTGTCAGGTAGCAAGTTAACCTTTCGTATCCCAGCTGATATTTCATCATCAGGTTTTTTCCATTAGAGATGGAGTAACTTAACACGTAAGCGAAGTGATCAACACATCTCACTGCTGCATTATCTATCCTACATGCAAATCAGAACTGAAGCATTACCGTACACCTAACAGATGAGAAACGCTCGCCAAACATTAGGCTTTTGCATAATTTGTTCAGAAGACTGAATTTTATCAGTGCCCATCAATAATCATCCAATGATCAGATTATGAACCGTCACAAATTATAGATGAAAGTAAATTCGTCCAATTCTGTGGCAGGTTTCACACTGCATGAGTCTTTAGGCAGGTTAGACATTCAGAAAAAAAATTATCAACCAACGTAATATCCGCATTGATGTTTTAAAAAAACAGTATATTTTAAGTGCAATATATAAGAAAAAGAGAAAATGTAGATTAGTTACTGGAGCTACAATTTCCTTTTACCTAGCTTTTGGTGCTGACCAAATCAGACCGATTATCCGTAATGAGACCAATAATCTAGAAGACTCAGCATTATATATATATGAACAAACTTCAGTGACTTAGTTCTTGTGTATAGAGGGCGCTTCTCAAGAAAATATCTACAGAACCTTTCTTTCCATTTAACATGGTTCGTGATTCAGAAATGACAATCATTAGCCTACAAAATGTTACTTGTTTACCGGCCTACATAAAACGCTAGAACACCAGTAATTTATGGACTAGTGATTCATATTAATATCGTTAGGTGTGAAGATTTACCAGGATGTGACTTAACGACTATGAGGAATCACTGTTTAGTCTAGGTCATTCGAAGCGCATGGAAAAGTAGTAAATCATGTAACGGGGGAAAAACTGTTGGTATTTGTTTTAACACACATATGTACACGAATACTTTAGTTGGTAAAATCGAAAAAACAAAAGCTGATGCTTTATATTTTAACAAAATTATACTATACATCAAACAAAATGGTAACAATAGTTTCAAGTTGCTACTATGAAAACTTCAGTTGATTCAGATACCACCTATAGATTCATGAGAAAAACTGCCAACAGCTACAGGACCAAGTATCAAGCTAGTAAAAGAGTCCAGTTAAACAACTGCACGACCAATAATAACACAACCATTACACAGACATCAGTTAATATATAGAAACTAGCAGGTCCCTTGTAGATAAACTAGTAGCTCAATTCATTTGGAATTTTGCATTAAAAATGACCAGCATTGAAAACTACATGACATAACTGTTCAACTTCAGTGGAACCCAAAGAGATTAACTTACTGAATATAGAGCTTAGAAGTCTTCAGTCCAAGTACCTCAAAGGTGCATGAGAAGGCACACTTTTGTAATGTGTAAGGATATATTCAAACAGTTTCTCTGAACTCTTATTTTAGTAGTTTTTCGAAGGATTTTGACCTTTTGTAGAGACCAGTCTGAAAAATTCAGAACAATAGCCTTACAACTAGACAAGCAGAGTGATGGGAAATCCCAATACAACACAATTAGAAGTAGCACAGGATCAAAAATTATAGAATATAATTAACGCAAAACACGTTCAAAATCACTCAGCTAAAAGTATGGTCTATTCGAAAGCTAAATAGGTGAAAAACGAAGAAAACAAAAAAAATTAAAGATTTCGAGCACAATAAACAACTTTTTAAATCTCCCAATAAACGTCGAAACAAAAGATGAGAACCATAGAATACTAATAACTAAATATCTTTAGTAAAATTACTAGGTACTCGTAAAAAATATGTCACATACTCACCCAAACCAATCAGTTTCACCAAGTGTAGAAATCCTGTACTTCTAGGATGAAGCGTATAACGAAGATATGGTAAATTATTTTTCTCAGCGAAAGCGTCACTTCTGGCTATTGACCCCTTGGTCAAATTTGTACCTTCAGGAAAAATGAGCAACTGAAAACAAAATAATTGATGGTAGTCAATATTTTTGTCACGAGTCACCGAAAATTATATGTCCTGTCATTTTCTCATCCAAATTTTGGTGTTCTTGATAATCTAGACAATGTTATTTAGCTAAGAGCTGGAAAGGCTTCTTCACATGATTCAGTGGCAACATTTAACTGGACCAACCATTTGAAGCAAGTGACTTTACATGATAGAAAAATTTCTGCTCTTTCACCTTCAGAATTTTTCATCCAGCTGGTTACCTTATGTTCATGAAATCGAATTTTACGAGTGATACGCAGAATGAATATGCATCTTCACGAATAAAATACACAGATATAGAACCCTAGTTTCACTGTTTTATAATTCAGAGGGAGAGAATTTTGGACTTTTTTAGATTAGGTTTTCTGTGGAAAGTAGTAATCGAACAGCAGTGTATACCATCAAACTTCATGACTCTTTATTCTCTTTTCTCTCTCATGAAATAAATTTGTGCTCTAAATAAAATAAGAGATACGATAGGTGTGAGTCAATGAAATGCAACCTTGTTCAGTAGGCAATGAGTCACATCTATTGTGTGAGGGCGATTGATTCTACCCAACTCCCCAGACCTCAGTAGGAGAAGCCGGGCTTGAACTCGTTACCCATCGTTTGAAAGTCATCTCCATGAACCAATGAGGCACAGCCACAACAGATATACAGATCAGTATAGAATGCTGAACAGATGTAAATCCTATCAAGTTGCCACACTTTACAAAAGTACACAAAGGGAACATAGGTAGAAAAATAATGTTATTAAATAGAATAAAAAGTATATGAGAAGAGACAAGATGAGCAAAATGTTCGAAATTTTGATGATGGAGAATGTACTTATTAACACTATTGTAATCAATCTTGAGGTTTACCCACCATATAAATAAATGTGCATGCACATAAAGAACGCAGAACTTAGCACAAGCGAATACTAAGCTAGACAGCGACATCATACGATAACAGTGAGGAGAAATAAATAACATGAAAAGAAATAAAGAGAACACCGATATCGGCCGGAGTAAATAAAAGATTTGAAGTAATAAGATGTTCAAGACTTAGACTAACTCAAAATGTGGATGCATCTGTGTAACTGTAACTGATTTTCAGCAGCACTCCCTTAGGTCTCTGAATATTATTTTCGTCTTAGATAGGATACAGCAACAAAGTTTATACTTCCCTACACAGCTTAGTTCAATAATTAGTAACGTGATGCATTAGTGACGCATCTTAGTCTGAAAGAGTACCGGAAATAAATAATCAGTAAGTAATTCAGAGTTTTGCTGTTAGATGAATATAGCTTATCAAAAATATGTGTATGAAAGGTATTAAAAATGCTTAAATACTATTCACCTGGCAGCTATCCTGAAGTTTAAGCAAATACGATATTGTTTTCCGCAATCGTTCTTGATCTGTTGCAATACGCCGACGCAAGAATATAAAGCTACCACATTGCATTGACCAGCCAGCTCCAGGAATTTTAGCAAGAGAATCTTTCAAAATTATTTTCATTCGCTGGATAGGATTGCCTAAACCCCATACAAAAAACCAGTCCAACTGAGTCCGGTGATTGAGGAGAAATAAACAACTGCGAGGTTCACAAGATGTCGATGGTAAGACACGATCACCGAATTGACGAACACGACAACCAAAGATTTTACATATCACAAACTACGGATAACAACAGATGAAAATGGTTATATGCAGGAATTGACAATAAAGTTAATTACCACAAAACATACAATTTATTAGTTTCTAAGTTTGAGATTCCCACTATATAGATCCATAGTTTTTTTGTACAACGAACAACTTGAAATACAGTAAATGTCAAGAAACCACTGGGAATCTGATCTAAACCTCAACTGGTAATTGAGTCGAATGAATTTTTATGTGCTTATCTCGCACAGTGCCAAACTATTACACCACACAATATATCCATTTACCATCCACTATAAAAAACCTCGCCTGGTTAACTAGTTTACTAGTTACTAGCCGGTCCTAAGCCCGGGTAAAGAGGGAAGGTTGGGCATAGGGCTAGCAACCCTACCCCGTAAAACAAATCTAACCGCTAAAGAAACTTCAAAGCACAAACAAAATATAAAAAATGAAAACAAACTTATTCCCCGCTGGAATCGGAGAGGCGAAATGACGCCAGTTGGTGAAAGCCTTCGGGAAGCCAATTGGCCGATGTGTCTTCTCTCGATGAAAGCGAAAGTAAACGTGGGGACATGGAATGTCCGCACGATGTTTGAACCCAGTAAGGCAGCCCAGATTGCAAGGGAGATGAGAAGGTATAACATCGAAGTGCTTGGGATTTGCGAAAGCAGATGGAATGGGAGTGGACTCTCCAAACTGTCAACTGGAGAATCAATAATCTACTCCGGTCACCCAGACGCCAACCACGAGCACACTGAGGGAGTGGCTATCATGATGTCCTCAAGAGCATCGAAGGCTCTCATGCAGTGGGAACCAATCTCCTCCAGGATCATGACAGCAAGATTCAACTCAAAAGGAAGAAAGGTCACAATCATACAATGTTATGCACCTACAAATAATGCAGAGCAAGAGAAAAAGGAGGATTTCTACAGACAACTTCAATCAACACTGGACAAGACGTCAGTTGGCGATATCAAAATTCTGATGGGCGACATGAATGCCAAACTGGGAGGGGACAACACGGGAAGAGAACTAACCATGGGTCGAGAGGCACTAGGTGAAATGAATGAGAATGGAGAATTGTTTGCAGAATTCTGCGCATTCAACGATTTGGTGATTGGAGGCAGTGTGTTCAGGCACAAAGATATCCACAAAGCGACATGGATTTCACCAGATGGACACACTAAAAATCAAATCGACTTTATCTCAATCTCAAGAAAATGGAGACGCAGTCTACTTAACACAAGGTCAAGAAGAGGAGCAGATGTAGGTTCAGACCACTACCTAGTGCAAGGAACCTTCCAAATCAAGTTAAAAGCCTTCAAGGAAGCTGGTGATAGACCTCAACCCAAGTACAACACTCGGAAACTGAAGGATGAAACTACAAAGGAGATCTTCAAGGCAGCCATCAAGACAAAATGGGAGACATCGAGCAACATCCCTGAAGAAACCTGTGTGGAAGAACACTGGAAGTCTTTGAAAGCTATGTGGAAAGAAACCTGCACAACAGTATTAGGAAGGAAGAAGAAAGAAGACAAGGAATGGATCTCGACGGATACCTGGAAGCTGATAGAGGAGAGGAGGATGGTGAAGCAGAAGATAAACCAGTGCAAGGATGCTCAACGACAAGATGAACTGAGCACAATGTATAAAACACTGGACAAAGAAGTGAAGAAGAGTGCACGCAAAGACAAAAGACACTTCTACGAAACACTGGCAAGTGAAGCAGAACAGGCTGCAGGTAAGAGAGACCTGACGACATTGTATCAAATAACCAGGTTGCTATCAGGGAAGAGACCAACACAGATGAAACCAATAAAAGATGAAGAAGGAAATTTAATTACAAAAGAAGAGAAACAGAGGAAACGATGGGCCGACCACTTCAAGAAGCTCTTGAATCGACCACCACCTGCACTTCGTCCAGAAATACCACCTGCAGCCGCTGAACTACAAGTGAACATTAATCCCCCAACGAAAATGGAAGTCCTGAACGCCATAAAGCTACTGAAATGCGGGAAAGCAGCAGGACCAGATGGAATACCGCCAGAAGCACTGAAAACAGATGCAGTGACAACAGCGGACATGCTCACACCACTATTGCAGAAGGTGTGGAAGGAAGAGAAGGTACCTGACGATTGGAAGAAGGGTTACCTTGTCAAACTGCCGAAGAAGGGAGACCTCAGTGCTTGCAAGAACTGGCGCGGAATCACTCTCCTGTCCACCCCAAGTAAAATATTAAGCCGCATCATCCTGGAGAGGCTAAGGGATGCACTGAATTCAAAACTGCGACCGCAACAGGCAGGCTTCAGGAAGTACAAATCATGTGCAGACCAAATTGCAACGCTTCGTATCATCATAGAACAGAGCATAGAATGGCAATCACCTCTCCACCTCAACTTCATCGACTTTGAGAAGGCCTTTGACAGCGTCGACCGAGAAGTAATTTGGAAACTGCTTCAATACTACGGAGTACCGCAAACCTTTATCCGCCTCATTCAACAACTATATGAAGATGCTACGTGCCAAGTAATCCACAATGGGAAGCTCAGTGATGCCTTTGAAGTGAAGACAGGAGTGAAATAAGGTTGCCTACTATCCCCCATGATATTCCTGATTGTGGTGGACTGGATCATGCAGCAAACAGTAGGCAGCGAGAAGAGGGGGATACACTGGACGACGGAAAAGAACCTAGAAGACTTGGATTTCGCCGATGACTTATGCCTAATGTCACATAAACTTGAAGATCTGCAGGCAAAAACTAACAAGTTGACAGAAGAGGCAGCGAAGACGGGACTTCAGGTGAATATAGAGAAGACAGAAGTGATGAAGATACCGCAGCACCACCATCAACAACAACAACAACAAACTCCAATCACTGTCAACGGGAGAAACTTAAAGGAAGTAACCTCCTTCACTTATCTAGGAAGCACTGTTTCAACTACAGGCGGGACGGACGAGGACGTCAAAGTCAGAATCGGAAAAGCAAGACAGGCATTCATTAGCCTGAAACCAGTGTGGAGATCTTCTGCACTCAGCATGCGGAACAAGATATGGATTTTCAACACCAACGTCAAGTCAGTGCTCTTGTATGGCTCAGAGACTTGGCGCGTTACGAAAGGGATTTCCAATAAACTACAGACATTCATCAACAACTGCTTACGCTCGCTGCTGAAGATCAGATGGCCAGAAAAAATAAGCAACAAGGAACTCTGGGAACGAACCAACCAAGAACCTATCACGCAACAAATATGCAGGAAGAAGTGGAGATGGATTGGCCATGCACTGAGAAGGCCGACTGAGGACATCACGCGTCAGGCCCTCGAGTGGAATCCCCATGGGAAGCGACGAGTTGGGCGTCTCATCTGAGGGTGACATGGAGGAGGTCGTGTGAGGAGGAAATGAGAGGTTGTGGGCTGTCGTGGGACCAGGTTCAAAAGATCTCAGAGAACAGAGGTCACTGGAGGCGTGCTACTGAAGCCCTATGTTCCACTAGGAACCCAAGGGACTAATAATAATAATAATAATCCACTATAAAAACAACCGGTATGCACATTTTTGATGACAAACAGTAAAAATTGAGCATTGTGGTGGGGTGCAGTCTCCTTTCGCTTGGTTTATTAGATGTACTTACTGGATTACGTTCCGGAAACAATTTATTGTCCAAAGTTATGTTATATCAAGGTAACTGCACCACTTTGAGACATGATTTACATAGTTCTAATTGTGTCTACTTCTTCTAATCTCAGCAGTAAAATTACACAACCCGATGATGGTTCACAATGCACAGTGGGTGAACTCTGCGTAGTTACATTCGACAGACAGAAGTGAATGTGCAATGAGTTGGTCAGTTTTCTCGTTTAGAAAATGGTAATCAGATTAATGATTTTCAAAGATGAGTGGAGCAGGTGTCGCATCTTGAAATAATACCATGAATCACTTGAAAAAAGATGCAACTAAACGTACTGTAACTAAATACGATTGGTTATGGTTTGATGACTAGCAGTGGAATCCAGGACGCGCATTTCGTCCTATTTGGGACTCATCAGTAAGTGATGTTGTTCTCAGTGAGACTCGAACCCAGTAACGATCTCATCAAATGCTGAAACATTATTCACTAGACACGTCCAGCTGACGAGTCCCATACAGGACGAAACCAGCGTCCTGGATTCTACTGCTGGTCACCAAATCAGTTTAAAATCATGAATATCCGGTAGTATATAGGCATCTGCAGAGGAGCCTATCCACCAACAGAAGTCGAGCAATTTAGCCTTGTATAGCAACGGGAAATTACAAGTACCAAACAATAAACATGATTTGATTTATAAATTGAACAAGAGTGACAAAGTTAGGCTACTAGGCAGTTGACGAATTCCAATCGGGAAGGTACTCAATCTAGAGAATACTGATGGTCCTATTGATTACTTCCTGTCAAAGTAGTGAACCAGCTGATTTTAGAAAGTATCATCTTTTATCCGCTTCTTTAACTATATTTATGGTCACAGAAACAGCATAAACTGTTTCAGATACTGGTTTGTTCACAAAAAGCTGAGGGAAAGATACTTGGAATGAGCTTCTGTAACGAAGCCTACATTGTTTACTATTTCAACATGAGTAACAAAGTTATCCGAGACATCATTTTTAATTTCTAAAACATTGATAAATTAGACCAAGTAAAGAGGAAATGGAAAATCAACCTGAAACTTTTTCAGTCAGATAAAATATTTACATTGTTGATAAAAAGATTTTAAACCCACCTACTGGCTTCAATGTCGTAAACCAGGTTTTCTGTTCGCTTACTGTTAGAAATGACCGAGGATCTTACCAATATAACATCAAACCCTTCCTTTTAACCCATTTTTAATTATGAAAAATATATGATAAAACTACTAGTCAGATACAGGTTGGCTTATTACGTTATACGTGCTGTGTATGTGAGTCGTCTATATTACATCACTGCACAGACCGGACGTATAGTCAGGGAGAAGCAATGACCTGAGAAGTTAAGAGACTATACCATTGATTCATATTTGCATAATCGCCACAATTACAGAACTAAGTCTGAAAACACTACATATATTTACCTCAGCAAACATTAACCAAGACGTCAGAAATAGGTCAACAAGGTAACGAAATACAGTCGGTGACAGGACAGACAGTGGGAGCAATGGACCATGAAGGAAAATCGAGCCAACATAAGCAGAAATTAGCAGCAGACTGATCCCAACTGCGCTTCGAATGCCATATGACCGATAAATAGGAAGGTCTGGTGGAATGGGCTGAGGAACACATGACGGACATGTTTCGGGATCTTTACTAGACACAGATGATTCGGAAGCGACATTTGAATCCACACCAAGACAATTTGAACTTAGTTTCGAAATGACGAAATTCGTCGGCTCTTGAGAATGTGTATCGCGAAAAAGGTCTTCAGACTTGTGAGGAATAATGTCCACGGGAGATGACATTTCAAGTGGACACTCTGTAAAATAAAATGCTAACGGTTAAAGGTCAATATATACAGGAATAGACTTTAAGGAGAAAAGTTTTCTTGTTTATAACTGTTTATTTGTAATCATATTCATACAATTAATCGTAACATGAAGACAAGAGTTTTCAACGAGAATTATAACAGGAAATCACTTTTTTTAAAAAGAAGTTCAGGAGTGGAAATGTCCGAAAATAATCAGTAGAAACAATTCGGAAGAAACAATCAAGCGAATAGGAACTACGTGGATATAACCCTTAAACAAGTATACAAGTCAACGCAGAACGATCCATTCGATTCGCCAAACTTCACTACATTCAATACGGACGTCAATTAGAAAAAGATATTGAAGTAAACATATTCTCACATCTCAACCAGGTGACCTTCAATTCTCTATCTACCTCAAACCAAGAGACTTTATGGATTGGCCCTACATAAGTGGTCTAGCCACCTTTAGATTTATTCTAACATACTGCTACTTCAGTTAGTGTTATGAATTGAGATAAGTAGTGGTTCAGCATGCGAAACACGTTCCAGACACTTTAGTCGGTGAAGACTTACAACCTCATCAGTTGCATCACATTTTTTGTCTCCCGTCCTACATTTAACCTCAAGACCGCCCACCGTTATTTCCCCGCACACGCGTAATTCATCGAAGTTACCTAAAGGCGAAGAACTATAACCTCATAGTGCTGTCCACTTCCAGAAGTCAAGTCTCATGGTCATTAATTGAGTAGAGTACTGTTAAATAATAAACTCATCATTTAATAACTAATCACCTGCACTACAGATGCTAAACAGGATCAAACCTTTAGCAAGCAACATTTTAGAAATATGTAGATGAATTTCATCTTTCTTTGACAGTCGACGAACTACCAGTTAATGATTTCACTAACAAACACTAAGAATCTATCTGCTTGATTTCAGTGTGAAACTTAAGATTTTACTAAGATTCAGTGTTGTCCATTCTTGTTGGTAAAATGATTAGAACCAACAAATGGTCGAGTGCTGTGCTTTATCAACCCTAATCTGATCCCAGCAGGGAATTAGGTTTTAACAACTAAATCCCTACCATATTTTTAACCAAAAAGAAATAAAAGACGGTTAGTTGTTGCCTCTAGAATCAAACGATTTCCCGCAACAGGAAGTGAAGCGGACGGCAATATATACTGCAGGGAAATAACTAATATCCAATCAATTGCATTTATGATCCGAAGGGTAACTGATTGGCACAAACATCATAATAAATCAGTTCATTTTCACAAAAACTCTTACACGATTCGAGTCATTATGTTTTACAAAGTCACATAACTGAAAAAAATAGGTAACTCTATGCATTTTCATAGTTTCCAAGTTCTACTTTTAAACTACATCACTCACAGTGATTCACAAAAATGATTTACTCCCTTCCGAAATAAGGGTGATCTGCAAGAGAATGAAGTTTGAAGAATGCCAGCGATCAACAGAATCCTGTGAGCCGACCTACTGAAAATTATACGTCGTTTCAGGCATCAAGTACCTGACAGATCACTGAGCCCCATATAGAATTGATGAATAAACGGTAACAGTTCACTAAAACTCTAGGGACTTGGAATATGAAGATGTCGGGAACGTGACTGACAAAATATCCTACTTCATGCTCCGGTAATGTGTTTTGGATTAGTAGCTGAAAATACCGCTTTCCAACGTCGATCTGTTCACTAAACACAACTACACAACACCACATTAACTGTGTGCTTGCTCCCAGTCGCATCCTGGATACCAATAAGCTGTTTCTTGGTTAAATGGTTCAATGTATGCAATGCTTGACCAACTGAATTATTAAATAAATCCCCTAGGGCATGGCTTTATTTCTGACATGATAATGAGTAGACGACAATACGACCACTTTATCTACCTCTCAGTTGGACATAAGAGCTACTCATTAGTTTAAGTCTGTTTGTTAGAAATCTCACACAGTGAAACAGTATGATTTACTGGATAACGTTTCGGACATAATTTGTTGTCCATATTCCATATGAATATGGAATGATACTGTTTCACTATGTGACATTTCTAATAAACAGACTAAAATGGAATTACAATCTACCACAGTGACCATGCTATTCACTCAGTTTTTCATTAGTTACTTAGTAACGTCAACATCTTTAAAATAACTTGAGGACAGCACATTTCTAGGTGAAACGAATTTGTATTCCTCCTACTGGGTAACTTATGACAGAAATTATAGCTAGATTTCAAGCAAGAAGTGACCACACTCGAGAAGACACCACTGAGCAATCAAGTCACTGAGAATAGCTTAGAGATTGGTCCTTAGTCACAGAAAATTCATTAAATAAGTCTACAGTTCATCGCAGAAACATCACAACTTATCAGATCGCCACATAACTGCTCAATACTCTCTACCATAATATTCATCAGCCGGCATGACTCTCTGAAAGCGGAAACCACTATGCCTAGTCTTTAAAGTTCGAACTATTTCCATAAGTGCAGCGTGTTACCTTCATTTGTCACTAACTCCCTTTTAATTAATACAGAATCGTCGTATGGGCTTAGGATATCAGATAATCAGCGGTTGCGACCATGGAAATAAAAATCCTCTGGATTTTACCGACTAACGTTACAGTTAAAAAGTTTGCCCAACTCATAAGTTGTTTCCGAAAACTGGAGGAAATAGCTGTTATCAAACTAAATGATTGAAGATCAAAATTAGGTTTGGGTTGCATCCGTGAATCTCATTTTGAGCGACTCGAACGACACCAGATGAATTATTCTTCAGAGTACTTTTATATACGCTTTCACTCTCTAAGCAAAGATTGAATTTCTTTCTAAAATTTTCTCGTATCTTAGGAAGCTAACTAACATTCCACGTCTTTTACATACCTTCGAGTTTCACAAATACTTACTTGAACTTCTGCTGAATATGATTTTTAACCAACTTCTTAGGGAAATAAGTCACTAACGAATACGCTTAATAGTTCATATCAGCTTGCAAGCAACTTCCAGGGTTCTATAGCAATGATTTGCTCTGTGAGAAGAAGAAACCTTACTTGCATAGCGGATATCATTGTAAATTTATCCTACTAATATAGTTAGTTGTAAACCAGAATATAAATATGACCTACATATTTGCTGTAATACAGTGGACCTTCGTGTATCGATTACTTTCAGTGCTGGAGGTCTGTTTTAGTTTATTTGATTACGCTGTTGGCTGCGTACATGGGGTCCGCACTATTCCAGAAACTGTGGTTATACGACTGCAGTAAGAAGCTACAATAATCTGCTTGATAAGTTAATTTTCTAAACGTAGCACAGAAGAGCTTATATACATCGAAGAGTTAAGAAGTTCGTAGGATAAATGGTGTTATTTTCATGACCAACTACGAACGGCAATAACACGTATTGAATGGTATTGGTTTCAGGAAAAATCAGTCGGTAAATAAAAGATCTCAAGTGAGCTGATTTGTTATCACTGCAAAACAAACAACATCAGTAACAGTAGTACAAAAAGGAGCTAAGAACATAAATACGGTTTTCAGAAACTTTGATATAGGTTCAAAAATTAATTTTCTACAAAGTATCATTTAGGACTTGGCTTCTGAATAGGTGCACAGTCATACTTTCCACGTACAACTTTATGTTTCACTCCAATAAGATCCTGTGTGCGTCCACCACGAACTAAAACAAGATTGTGCTCCTGTAAATTATGACCTTCACCGGGGATGTGAGCTGTAATTTCACGACCATCGCTTAGACGAACACGTACGCATTTTCTATTAGCACTATTTGGTTTCTTCGGTTTACGGACAATAGCCTTCAGTACGATTCCCTTTATAAATGGTTTTCCATTCATTACTTTATTTGGTGGACGCTTTTTTTGAAATGGACCACAGATGGCCATCTGTGCCAACGTAGCCAAGTTAGCAGTTGATGGTATACCGAACAACGAATGAAATTTATTCGAAGTGATTTGCCAGAAAGAATCATTACTTCCAAATTTGTGACTGACTGGTGCAAAAGATGAAATCAGTGGCCGATTGCAAAAGAAACCTTTAATAGAAGAATAGGTCAGAAACGTTAGAAAACAAATTTTTGAATTTTAAATACAAGAGTAGAAAAAGTGTGATAAATTCTCTTTCACAATACCAGTAGTAAGAATTTATACTAAGATAATGAAATCACCTATTCTAATTCTCATACGTATTGCAGGAGGTTTATAATATATAAAACTGGAGTGATATGATGTATAGAGACTCAAAAGTGAAAAGGATAACAAACGCTTACAATCTTAACTTCATGGAGGACAAAAACATACAACCAATTCCACTTATTCTGCAAAAACCTGTTGTTTTCATGATCGTCATCATCATCAATAATATCAACATAGGATACTGCATTACTGCATAAACAGTTCAAGTTGCTCCAGCTCACATTAGCAAATCAAGCAAAAAACTGACAAGATGAAGGATAAGGAAATAGAAAATAGTCAATCGAATGCAGTCAAAGAGTGGGAGGAATAAAAAAAGTACTGAATTCAGGGTGACGATTAAGACGAAGATAATGCGTGCATACATCTAAGCCGTTAACTTTGATTGAGTTGCATCACAGTCTCAAACCACTGGTTTCCGTTGTCACATGAACCTCAACCCGGGTCAGACAAGCTACCAAAGACTCTATGAAGTGATGACGTTCCAGTCTGGTCATTCTTAACACATTTGACGGTTATCGACCTTAGTATGTAACGAGATAAGTTTAATTAGTTTGGAGACTGGTGTATCAGACCAACAGAAACATCACCAACTAACACAAGTGAATTGGTCCAAGTCTCCACATTTCACAGTAGCATACATAGGAAAAGTGGATGGGAAAAGACTAATATCAAGTAGATATAGGTGTATAAGACGAGACAGAATTTGAAAAGGAAGGTTAGCCAAAACATTCAGCTTAAGGAGACATCAAAGAATAAATACATATGCACCACTCTGACCAATTTTCAGTCGTTTCCTCAAGAGTCTCCAACCACTGATTCCTATAGTCTCAGGGACTCCAACCAAACATTCTACATCTCTCTACACACCTCAAACCAACAGTCAGGGACTTCATCGATTGGTACGACGTCTCGGCTTGGCCATCTAAAATTCTCTTCCAAATTCTGCTAGCACTGCACTTCAAAGTAGACGGTGGCTTAGCATACGCTGACTGACTGGAAAAACCAACGTAGAACCTCAACCACAGGTGCATCGTATCAGCATGAGCCGCAAATATTCAAGCCACTACAGTCGCTGAAGGCTCACAATCTCATCCACTTAATTGTCGGTTTTGCCAAGTACATTTCGCCTGACCAGGACATTGCTCACATAGTGATTCCAACATATGCAAGCAATGCTACTAAGGGACCTGTGATCAGAAACTTGTAACAGCTTTATATCTTCTACTTCTAAGGGCCAAGTATTACAGCCGTATAACAGAACGGACTCCAGAACAATACACTCTTCCTCTAACAGATAGTTGGATATCTCGCTATTCGGCGCGAGACGCAAGTCAGCAAGCGTCAAATGAGCCTTCTGTATCCGAGCTAATATTTAGTCAGCAACCAGCCCGTTAAGACCGATGTAACTCCCCAATTAATCGAAGCGGTCGATAAGTACCACCACTCCACTCTCTATCCGTAAACAAGGAATAGGTTCAGACCAGTCTTGGAAAAATATCTTACATTTGGCAGGTATGAAACTCATGCAAAACATACACAGATCTCTGCTCAATAGGTTCAGAAGACCAATCACTTTTTCTCAGCGTCTTCTAGTATGACAATAATTTTTGTGCACTACAAGTTAGTCAGGTGACCCCCAGGGAGATAAATCCCTGTGAAGTCCGAGGCGCCGACGGTTATGTCTATTAATAAGTCTACGAAACAATTAAACGGAATGGTGAAGCTAGGCATTCCTCACGGAAACCACTGAGCATCGTCAGCTCAGATGACAACTCTCTAAAACCCCTGCACGACTGCGTGAATTTGATCATAGAGCTTTGATTGGCAGTGCATACTTGCTTGATACTCCTTCAGTCGGAAACTACCACAACACCTCACGATCGACACAGTCGAACGACGTCATCGGGCCAACAAATACGACAAGTATCGGCTGCCGGTAAGTCTGGCTGTTTCCGAAACCGTGGGAAGGTGAAAATCTGATCGATGCACCCTCGTCTAGATCTGAAACCCGTCTCGTTTTCTCGATCTCCAGTTAGGTGTGGGACGACTAAGGACCTAGGGATCTTGGACACGATATGGGTTAAAATGATTCCACTGTGGTTATCACAAGAAGACTTCTCTCCCTTCTTATAGACTGTAATAACCAGTGAAGTAGACCAGTCTGACGATATTACCTCTGATTCTCATACAATAACTAGTACCTCCGTTAGGCTACATAATAATTTTCTTCCTCCATCCCTGAAAACTTCGGGTGGTAAACTGTCAGGTTCAGCTGTTGCTTTGCATTGTTTAATGCTCGAAAAAACCTCATTTTCAAGGAGAGTTGGAGGACTGACAACTATCTCCCATCCAGGTTCAGACTGGATGCTGAGCAATTTGGGCATGGCTGCGCATTCGTTGAAATGTGCTTCAAAGTGTTCTCCTACCGTCTTACCTATCTATTCTGAGGGGTTCCTAGGTATCATTCTCTCCGATGATGGTTTAGCTAACCATCATATTTTCCTGGTCGGTATTCTGATCCTTAATATGCCGAAAACGTTGGTGGGTTTTACCTTCAAACCTCACCTGGTTAACTAGTTCACTAGTTAATAGCCGGTCCTAAGCCCGAGTAAAGAGGAAAGGTTGGGCATACGCCTAGCAACCGTACCCGTAAAACCAATTCAATCGATAAAGTAACTTCAAGGTACAGACCTAATATAAAAAGGAAAAACAAACTTATTCCTCGCTGGAATCGGAGAGGCAAAATGACACCGGTTGGTTGGCCGATCTGTCTTCTCTTCTCTCGATGAAAGCGAAAGTAAACATGGGGACACGGAATGTCCGCACCATGTTTGAACCTAGCAAGGCTGCCCAGATTGCAAACGAGATGAGAGGGTATCGCATTCAAGTGCTTGGAATCTGCGAAAGCAGGTGGAATGGAAGTGGACTCTCCAAACTGTCAACTGGAGAATCAATTATCTACTCCGATATTGTCACACAAACGACAACCACGAGCACACTGGCTGGGTTGTCGAGTGGCTATCATGATGTCCCCTTGAAGAGCATCGAAGGCTCTCTCTCATACAGTCGGAATCGATCTCCTCCTCCACAACCAGCTTCATGACAGCAAGATTTAACTCAAAAGCAAGGAAAGTCACAATCATACAATGCTACACTACGCTACACACCTACAAATAGTGCAGATCAAGAGAAGGAGGGGGAATTCTACAGACAACTGCAATCAGTACTGAACATGATCCCACCCCAGTAGGCAACATCAAAATTCATTCTAATGGGTGACATGAATCCCAGTCAAACTCGGAGCGGACAACACAGCAAGAGAACCCATCATGGGTCGACAAGCACTCGGTGAAATGAACGACAATGGAGAACTCGTTAAAGACTTCTGCGCATTCAACGATTTGGTGATTGGAGGCACTGTGTACAAACACAAGGATATTCACAAAGTGACATGGATTCGATTCCACCAGACACCAGGACACACTACACTAAAAATCAGATAGACTTCATCTCAATCTCAAGAAAGTGGAGACGCAGTCTACAGGACACAACATCAAGAAGAGGAACAGGTGGAGGTTCACACCACTCACTATCTAGTGCAAGTTGAAAGTTTTCACAGAAGTTAGTGATAGGCCATAGTTCAAGTTGAACACCCAGAATAGAAAATGAACTGAAGGACATGTTCGCAACGGTGGACATACTCACACCACTATTGCACAAGGTTTAGAAGGAAGGAAGGAAAGGTACCTGCCGATTGATAGGAAGAAGGGCTACCTTGTCAAACTCCCAAACAAGGGAGACCTAAGTCTTTGCAAGAACTAGCGAAGAATCATGCTCCACTCCTTTCCACCCCAAGCAAAATATTATGCCGCATCATACTGGAGAGATTCAAAGGTGCTCTAGATTCAAAATTACGACCGGAACAGGCTGGCTCAATTCAGGAAATACAAATCATGTACGGATCAAATTGCAACGCAACGCTACGCATCATCATACAACAGACCATAGAATGACAGTCAACTCAACTCTACCTCAACTTCATCGATTTTGAAAACGCCTTCGACAGCGTCGACCGAGAAGTCATTTCGAAACTGCTTTAACACTACAGTTTTAGTGCCACAAACCTTTATCAAACTCATTCAACAACTATATGACGACGCCATATACCAAGTGATTCACAATGGAAAGCTCACTCACGCCTTTCAAGTGAAGACAGGAGTAATACAAGGCTGCCTACTATCACCGATGACCTTCCTGATTGTGGTCTACTGGATTATACGACAAACTGTGAGGAACGAGAAGTGGGGCATTCGCTGGCTGCACCGATGAGAACAACCTAAGAGAAGGTTGGGATTTCGCCGATGATGATGTATATCTAATGTCTTATCGCACAAACTCGAAGATCTACAGGCAAAAACCAACAGGTTGACAGAAGAGGCAGGGCAGCGAAAACGGGACTTCAAGTGAATGTAGACAAGACGGAGGTGATGAAGATACCCAACCAGCAACAAGCACCAATCATCATCAATGGGAGAAACCTAAAGAAAGTAGTCTCCTCCACCTACCTGCACACGCAACAAGCAGCACAGGCACAGATGAACACGTCAAAGCCACGATCCGAAAGACAGCAAGACAGGTCTTCACTAACCTGAAATAATCAGTGTGGAGATCTACTGCACTCTACTCCACTCCACTCCACTCAGCATAAAGCGTGAACAAGATTCGGATTTCCAACACCAACGTCAAGTCAGTGCTTCCATGTGATGGTTCAGAAACTTGGCGCGTCACGAAAAGCATTTCAAACTAACTGCAGACATACACATCACATCAACAGCTGCCCCCTTCCCTCACTCCATACTGAAAATTAGATGCCCAGAATAATAAGAATGAGCAATAAGGAACTCTGGCTGGGCAGCCAACCAACCAACCAACAACCCATCGCACAAGAAAGTGGAGATGGATTGCATTGGGGACACACTGAGAAGGCCGATTGGGGATATCACACGTCAGGCCGTCGAGTGGAATCCAAAGGGGAAACGACGAGTTGGGCGTCTCATCTGAGGGTGACATGGAGGAGATGGTGTGAGGAAGAAATGAGAGCTTGTGGGCTGTCGTGGAGCCATGTTCAAAAGTTTGCAGAGAACAGAGTGCACTGGAGGCGTGCTACTGAAGCCCTATGTTCCACTAGGATCTCAAGGGACATATAATAATAATAATGATAAAAATTTCAACAAAACCAATTCTCTTAACTAACTAGTTACCAGAGAAGTAGGTAATAATCAATGCTTGGATTTCAGCCGTTTAGGCTGAAATTTATCGATTAGCCAGTTAGAATCTTCACTGACATACTTCAACCAATAATGACTGATTATATTTGATTATAATTATAATTTAATTTCATTTAGTTTTAATTTAATTTAATTATAATCTTATACAGTAATTTTCAAATAAACTGATTTGGACTGAAAGCGGTGTTCAGTTGCAGTAAATGCACGCACCAACAGTGATCATATCACAATATTCCTACAAGTTAAGAGACTATGAGAGTAGTAGTTTGTACAACAATCAGCGGCAAATTCTGTCAATTGGTTCATAAGCCATTATAACTGGACCCTAAGTAGGAATTAAGTAAACTCTAGAGCAGAGAGAAAATATTTCGATGCTTTCTTGTGACAGCAACTATTTGTGGAAATCTAAAACACGTGTCTTCTCCCTCCTTTGGATTTTAGCATGTCGATTTCCCTACTGAACCAAAAGAATATCGATTAATCTGCTCAGATAGGATGAGAGGATAGATATACGCGAGGTTGCGTTTTCACCAAGGAAAAGTCACAACACTTTTTTGTAATGGAGCCCCAATGGAAGAATAGTTCAACAGCTTTCACAAATGATATTCTCTCATCGTTCGTTAGCTGCAACCACATTAGGACATTCTTATCATCAAATCTCGTGAGTCATAACAAAAATGACAGGTCTCAGAATGGTTAGAATGAGACACAGTCACAGGCCGTCTTCGTCTTCTGGTTTTTCGCAGCTCAGTGAAGCAGAAGGTACTGATGGAGGTCAGTCGCAGAAGTATTCGGTTGAGGTGTCTATTGGGTCTCAGTATCATATCCACGCAGAAACCCAAGGGACAAATAATAATAATAACTTCTTTATGCTTTGCTTTCGGCCCCTTATGGCCAATGACAACAGACAAAATGATAGCTAGTGCAACACTAGCTCTTCACCATGGACATATCGAAGAAATGCGAAAGTAATGGGGATGAAACCAGAGTGATTTTTGGTTGAATGGTAACCGAACAGTTTGCAACAGTGCATGTGCTAGTTACAGCTTGCAACTTAATGTGTATAGAAGGGAGATTAATGTGAAAACAAGTAAATTGGCTAATGGACCCATATGGGGTCACATTTTATCTAGTCTATAGTATACTTAAATTCTTACGCCCTTACTGAAACTCAAATTTCTTCAGCTTTTTATATTTTACGAACAGGTGCTTTTCAAATGCACAATTGAAACTATTGAATGGTACGGAAATGCTTCTTTTGGTTGCTAAGTGATGTTATTTTTAGTAATACCTGCTGCATGCAGTGTTAGAAAAACTCTTCAGTAGTCCCTTTGATACTTTCACCTTTCCTTGAGTTATTTTGGTTTGATGCAGTGGAGTAAAAAGCTGAGAAAAGCATAAACCACTGCAGAAAAGCCGAACCACCATCGTGATTCAAATTGAAGTTACCCATTGTAAAATCATCCCGAGGTAAGCGTATGCCCCAATTCAATACCAGGTGAGTGAAGGCTACAGTAACTAACTACTTTGTAAACATTGCACGTGATCTTTAATTAAAGGTACAGTAAAGCTCTCAAAATATGGATGCCATATATCATTTTCGAAAGGCCTTGGACTTTTGGAAACAGCAAATAAGTATTCTGAAGTGTCAAAGATTTTATCCCAATGAAAACTAGACGTGCCTGGTGCAATAGATTTAGTGTGCTGACTATCAAAAGAAATACAAAATAATTCCCTAGGACGCTGGATTTCAAGACAGATTTGTCCAGCATGTTACATCATAGATTACACTGCTTAACACAGTATGCCATGTGAATTCCAACATGGGTTTTCGCAGTTACAATCAACGGTGAATGATAAGCAAGTTATACATGATATTATATGAGTTATATATTACCATAAAAGTCTAATATGAAGTTTGAAAATACCTTCTAACGACAAATCACGCGACCTACCTATTGTTCTCGAAAACACACTATGACCATATTTTAATGGCGCGGACATCACGCCAATGTTTCGATGACCTAGAGAATCACATAACAGACATTATATTAAATAGTTTCAAATGTTTAGCAACAGGAACGAATAGGCTTTTATGTCTAGAAAGAGTGGACCACAATTTTTTGATTCGGTAACTTATGCCTAAGATAGAGGGAGAGAGAACGAGAGTGATTAACATAGATAAAGTTAGTTATGATTGAGCTGCAACCCACATCATAGGCATATGTCAGGTTGGAGTCCGCGGAACTCAGACGAAACACCTCGAAGCACTTCTGAAGGGAGAGCACTCCAAAATGTAACTGCCCGTAGGTAGTAGAAGCAGCCCTTGAAATCTGATTCGTTATGTTGGAGGCTTAACTCCTGTGTATCTCCTCTGACATTGATGCTACAACTAAACTGGAATACGTGGCGAAGAATGAGTCAGGGAATTTTTGAATTCGTGAGGACTATCAAATTCATTCGTGAGTGTGTGGCGTCACACACTTCCCCAAAATCAGTAGCCTAGTGTTTGACGACATTCAACACTGATGCTGACCTTGATAGTTTAACCGGACTCGCTAAGTTGAAGGCACCCGGTCAAGCATCCTCGCCATTTGGCACGCTGTCGTGTTACGTTGCACTGCTCGTATTCGACTCTCTACCCAGTTAGTTGGAACCCATCGGTATTTTGGCACAACCATCCAAATATACTATTCCATCCGACTACGCTATCGTGTTCTTCCTTGGTCTCGTATTCGTGGGCATATAAAAAGTCCGAATAATTAGTGACTGGTCTTTGCGTCTGTCAAGTTCTCACCAGGACAAATCCTAAAGGTGAAAATCCCAGAAAATCAATCCATGTTTCAACTAGGTTTAACTGTGATGCTGAACATATAGTTTTTATGGACTGTCTGGGCTGAAGGTACATGGTGAAGCATCCTAATCCGCTTGGCACACTGCAATGTTACATCGAATCGCTCGTATGCAACCCTCCAGCCAGCTAGTCGAGGTTTCTCGTTATTTTTGTATGATTGGTCAAATGTACTGTTTCTACTTGACTCCATGTTTTTACGTTCTTGGGCATTACCTGAGTAAGAATAACTACTAATCGGCCTCTACGTTTATCGTTTTCGGGTACAGATAAATCTTAAACTTGTGAACTCCTTTACTTATATACTTGTGTGCCTTTGTTGAAACATTGATGGCCCTTTTTTCTCGCATGGTAAACCCCCTTATCCAGGTGCGACAAGATCCCTGAACTTCGTCTCATCAAACTGTCAACGCAGTGGATCCATCTAACGTCGCTTCACGCGAATAACACAGAAATATGGTTCCTGTACGTTAAAGATGATTCCTGAGAACATGGGATCATAGGTATTCATTCTAAGTTCCCTGCTGCTATGCGATCGATCGCGCACCGGTAACAAAGGCACGTAATGCTGCACTTGTTTACTCGTGAAGTAAGTCATCCCAAAATTTGGATCCCGCTCTGGGCGTCGGTAAATGGTTCCATAAAAATGACCCAACCAAACACATGGCTGTTTTTGCGGAGCATCACATAGACTCCCCAACGCAATGTGGATTTACCGAGCTGAAGAAAAGGCGACGCGAGGTCCTGCTTATCTCCCTACCACCTCCTGTTCCGAAAGTTGAGGTGAGCATTTATGTCTTTGTTCGGTTCATCCCATGCAGCAACAGAGAGGATCCAATACATGAAGCGGGAAAGTTGGACTAACAAATATCAGTAATTAACAAACAAGTAACCTTACTGAATTGACTAACCTGGTATCAGTAGACAAAAGGTACATTCTGCATCCGCAGTTTCATACGAAAACGTTTTGATGCCCGTGTACTGAGATGCCGAGACTGTACCAAACGGAATTCGGCACTGTAGCATGCTCCCTATTTAAAATCGTTTCGTTTCTCATAGCTACATTCTGATGATTCAGCTAGTTTAATTGAGAAAGAGGTACAATACCACAGCTACAAAATGGGACGTTTTTACGACTGAATTGAAAGATGATCAGAAGAAACCTAATGCACCACAAGTTGCTAAGATGACACGATGTAGGTGACCACAAAGGGCCAAGCACCCGATATCTTTTTTAATTTTTGCTCAGACGTTGCGGTTGCGTCCCGCTGCGAAAGAGTAGAGCAAATCGGTCGAAGAAGGAGGGTGAATGAACAAGAAACTGAATATCTATAACGCTCTTGGCGACTGGTCGGGCCAGTCAATTCTGTGGATCGGAAAAGAAATGAAAAGTTGAGAAATTCACAGTAAGACACTATCGTCTGCTACATGTTGTTGTCACCACAAGAGCTGTGACCCGTACGGACAGAAGCGTAAGTTCAACTTCATCAAAGACTTGGAACCGTTTCGCGTATTTTGCGCAGTTTTCCTATGAGGCTGTATTTTTCCACACCAGTTTAGAGATATATACCTCTTCAGACAGTAAGTCGGACCAGTGACATCAAAATGCTGTTGTTACTGCGATGGGTACCTGTGGGCTCAAACATCCAGAACTAGGGATAGAATTCCTTCTTAGATGACCAAGGTTCATTTAAGATATGAAAGGCATATATCAAAAGTCACTTGCCAATATCAAGTGGGTAACCGGTTTTCGCCTCAAGGTTTGATGTCCCTTTAGGGGACTGAAGACCCGCCTGACTAGAAACTTAGGCGGGTGAAATTTCACGCAGGCATGTTAGACTTTTCCATAAAGTCACAGGAGCACTGAGCAGCTATCTGATTTAAATCCATTTGGGTTCAGCAGGACTTCTTCGACCCCAGAGGAGGAGTCAACTGTTCGAACTGAATCTTGCCAGCACTCGAGTAACTGTACTGTTCAGGGTGACCTTCGGAAACTTAATGATCACTGATCATATGGTTATTTTGAGCATGAAGCACTCTGCAGACCATACGAAAACAACAAAGTTACCCAGTCATCCACATAGGTTGCCTTATGATCGTTTTTAGATGGAAATTCCCGTAGAAATCGTCAGGCTCAGTCCATGTGATTATGATGAGGGGTACCCGCGGCCCATATGAGAAGAGCTGTGATTTTCTGTCCTGGATAATCCTGACACGAGCCCAAGACAAAGATAGAGTCGGAAATCGCGCCTGGCTGTTTATAAACATTGAGCGATTTCCTTGAAAGTACGTCTTTGATTAGGAATAAATATAGACAGTTGCCTTATTGCCTTGTTTTCGGTATTTACAGCGAGAGCTGCCCTATTTACATCCGGAATAGGGGTTTCTGCAGGTCGCTAAAGCATCATTGGGTCGAGCTTCGGCCGTTGTAGTGAAAAGGTGTCGACGGAAAACAAAGAATATTTCAGCATCAGTTAAATCTGTATCCATGCAGTGCAACGTTGTCACTTTTGTGCATGCACTGCGGCATCGAAAAAGCTCTGAGGATTTTCAGTGTCGACTAGTAGATTGGAACGGTAGGCCGTGGATGCAATTTTCTGCCCAGTGAATTTTTAATCCTTAATCGCGGCACCCCTAAACCATGGTATATTCTTAAAAGACGGTTACTTTGGCCGACCAGATCAGTGAGCGACTGTATCCAGTCCGCGGAGACAGTATCTTTAGATGAACGAATTCAGGCTGTATCAGAAACAGATATGGAACAGCCTCGAACCACATGAACTTCAGGTTTGTCCTGGAATATCTAGAGTGACTCATTTTTCAACAGAACTGGGATACCTGGAAAGGCTGAGGCAAGACAGTCTTCGTTCACGGTATCTTCATGATGTGGCTCACTAGATCTTTTGGATCCTTTCAGTTCACAAGAAAGTCCACCTGCCCCGATATCTATGTCACACTAGTTTAGCTTCGAAAGGTGGAAAACTAGAAGAGGGAGAAGACTTGCAAAATAAAATTTCGTACAACCTGCCCAAAGTGGACGTCACGACCTCCCGTCGTTACTTACTTATGAGGACTCGGTGAATAAGATGCGTCTAAAATCAGTTGTAGAAGGCTGGCCCACGTCCATTGTCTGAGAAGTATAACTTGCGCACACGTATCGAGAAGGAGGACAGTTTACGTTGAGACCGAATTGGGAGGGAGTGGCTTTCTTTAAACTTCAAGCTTTGTGTTGTGACAGCAAGCAGAATTTAAGCACAAGTAGACAGACGTCAATACGAAACCTCTAAGAATAAAAATAGTCATGAACGCCAGTGTTTTGTTTTCGGGTGCAGATTATGTGCACGCCTATTCAGCGACCAACTAGCACACCCGATACCACCTACTTCAAAACTTATATGAAAACCGAAAGGGGACTCACCCGGATGAGAGTCTGTTGCCTTCAAGTTTTCAAAGAAACAAAAATATGTATATACATGTACATGCTTGACTTTGTCGAGAATTTGAAACACCTAGGTAATAAAAGCAGGAGTCAACCCGTTGGTGGGGGTTACTATTCAGCCGCAGCTCTAGCGCTGAGACAACATTTTTTGAACTGCAGACACTTCAGATGCTGGAAGCATAATTACTGGTGTTTTTATTATCTCATCACGCTATGTGATAGCTTCTTTTTCTACTTCGGACCCTGTATGATAGTATAGTTTGTCTAGCTAGCACATCGTGCGACGACTGCACACCTAGTAATAATAATAATATTTATTCCTGAATATACAGGCACGCACCATTTTTACACGTATGAGTAAGTTGATATACAAATTACATTCATCTTCATGGAAGGTAATCTCAACCCCCACCTATTGTCACTGGAAGATATAAGTGTTGCATGTTCATATAATGGAACATCCCAGAAGAATAAGTATGCAAACGTCAACAAGTTGGACAAGTGGAAGTATTGTCTTCGCATTAACAAAAAACCGGGTTTGTATCTAGACACTACAGGTATTACCTGGAGAAAAATAAAGCTTGAAGCTAGTATTCCCATTATGACAGTTTGTACTTTTTGCTTGAGATAACGATGAAAAGTTTATGAATTGTTTACATATTGTACTTCCCTGACGATTCCAGGACTGTGTAGTTCATGCATGTTAATACCATT